GAGGGGGAGGGTGTAGCGGATGGACGGCCTGAACGGGGACCACCGGAGGGTAGATTCACGGCCGCGGCTAGCGTGCTGTTGGTGGTGCTACTCCCGGGTAGGGGTATGCTGGATCCGGGGTTGGAAGACGAAGAAGACGACCAGGCAGCTTGCCATTGTCCGCTCGCGGCGGGCGCAGGCAGGGCATCGGGTCCGATGTCGCGGCGGACGACCCACGCCGTGTCCGGGCGCAGCTTGAAGTAGTAGCCCGCCAGCGGCTGGTCGCTGACGCGGTGGAAGCCGCGCGCGGCATACCACTTCAGCCCTTCATCGTTCTCGGTCCAGACATGTGCGTAGATAGTGCGCACGTCGATCGTCGAGCCGGTCGCGGGGAGGAGGGAGGCCGAGGCGATGATGTGTTCGAGGGCGGCGGCGGCGAGGCCCTGAGACCGATAAGGGGAGAGGAGAGCTAACGACTGAATATAGATCGCGTGGCCTTGTATGTTTTCGGGTTCTCGGGAGGACGGCGCGGCGGGGAGACGGTCGAGCGAAGGGTTGTTGGGCTCGAGCCGGCACACGACGCCGCCTATCACCTTGGGCGGGTCCCCGGGGGTGTCCTGCCAGAGGATGGCTCGGGAAAAGAGGCCCGACGCGAGCGGGTCGAGGGCTTTGGCGTAGAACGAGTCGGGGTAGGCGACCGGAAGCAGGAGCGTGTTGATGCGCCGGAGCGCGGCGATATGGTTCTCGGCGACCGGGACGATCTGGGCTTGCGGCGGGAGAGAGGGCGGTGATGGCAGGCTGGGGAGGGTCGGGATGACGGCTGCTATGGGCGGGACGGGCTGCTCGGCGAGTGGTGGGAGCGGCGGCGGCACAGGAATCGGTGTTGTTGGCGATCCCACCTCGACGATCGGTGGTGGGGCAGCCGCCGGCGCCGATGCCGAGGCGGAGGGAGGAGGGGCAGCGTACTTGGGCTGCTGCCGAGGCTGGAAAAACGCTCGGATTGAGGGTTGTTGCGCCATTGAACAAGTATTGACGGCTCTTTGGTCAAAAGCTGGGCATTGGCACTTGCGGTAGCTATGTCGACGGTTCGCTCACCGCGATCAAGTTTTGGTGGGGGAGCACCCTTTCGACGTGTTTCAGGACCCCCACATTTATAATGGTGTTTGTTGCCCCGATGGGAGGGGTATGCACTCCACAAATCCAGAACGGTGGGAAGAGGTCTCGGAGGGTCGAGATCGAGATCCAAAGTGACTACCCGGCCACCCAGGATCAGCTGTCGGGCTCGGGGCATGTGTGAAACGTGGAGGGTGGGCTGCCAGAAAATGACGGAGCTATCTAATCTGACGGGAAATGCATCTGGACTTTGAGAAGGCTCTCTCGCAAGGCAAAGATGGTGACGGCGATGTGGATGGATGCTAGGGCATTGTGAAATGGCAATAAGTACTGAGTGGTATGACAGTACAGAGGGAACACTCCCTGTAACTATGGATAACTATGGACGATTTTAGGGTACCACCGTAACATAAAAAAGGAGACACAAAAAAGATGGATGCTGTTGATTTTGCGACTTCTGTCCAGGAGATGGCAGCCCCGCACCCCCAGATGCAGATTTCAGGAACGATTTCGCAAGATGCAGCGCTGGGGCCCCGCTATCTGGATGGCCCCCAAATCCCCTAACACCCTGCTAGCGCATCCGCCGTGCCAGCCTCCTGCCTGCCGGACTTTGGCTGTCGGGCAGAAAATTCACGGTCATCAACTGCTGCCCCTTGGCAAACCTTATTAACACGGGGAAGCTATTCATCCATCAGGTGCTACAAACCGTCCCTTCTGCCTGACCATCCGGCTTCATCATCGCACGAGGTCGCCAGCGGTCGTCATTTCCACATCTCGGCGTGCCCGCCCGCGATGGTCGCCGATTGATTTCTGAAGGCTCTCAGGTGCACTTCGGTATCCGGTTCAATTGCGGCTGACCTCGCCTCGAAGCAGTGTCAGCTTCCCCATTGCCTAACAGGCCTGCAGCAGTTCTCACACGACACCATTGCTGCAATTTTTCCCTCTCGCACACCACCCAGCCCGTCGGTCGCACACGCTCAAAGCGGCGTGTCGCTCCTCAGAGTCAACATGTCGTCAGGAGCGGATAGAACGGGCAAGGCCGGCGTCATCGTCGCCCCCGAAGATGCCAACCAAATGGAGAAGCTCGTAAGTACCTTCAACGGTCCTCATCTTCGTCGGCCCGCTAACAAACCGTCGCAGGCACATTCCGTCCTCGACGACTTATTATACAACATCGTCCATGACCTCCTGCTCAAGGTACACCGGGATGAAAAGATGGCCCGCGCCAATACAGCCGCCATAAAGATTGAGAAGATGGCCTCGGACGCTTCAGAACCGTCGCTTGATTCGCGGCCCGACGTCCGGATCGAGACCGATGCGGCGATATACGAGGATGGCAAAGTCCTGCTCAAAGGCAACCCGCTCAAGACCACCAAGGACATCCTCTGCCCGCGGTGTCACCTTCCACGTCTGCTCCACCCGACGGACGGCAAGAACGCGCAAAAGCCGGATCCCGGTATCATCTACTGCAAAAAGCATCCGTACATTGAGAAGCCGGGCTTCGACATCTACGGCCAGACATGGGTTGCCCCTGGCCCTGGACGGGGCAAGAAGAAGAAGGATATGGAGAAGAAACTGGATCCGAATGACACGGGCTCCCCTGCTGCTATGGAAGGCAGCGCCAAGGACCGGCCGCCGAATGTGCTCAGCTTCCCCAGCGCCACCTGCTCGAAATGCAAGAGATGCATCCTGGTCACGAGACTGAACAACCATATGGGTTCGTGCATCGGCAACAGCGGTCGTAACGCCAGCAGAGCAGCGGCACAGAAGATCAGCAACGGTGGGAGCAATAACGGTAGCCAGAACAACGATAATACGCCGCCCGGAAGTCAAAAAGGAACGCCGTTACCCGGAAGTCGTGCTGCTAGTCCCAGGAAGCGGGATGGCGACGAATTTGACGAGGATGCGGACGAGTCGGATCCTACCAACCCTAAGAAGAAGCCCAAGCCGAATCCGCTTACCAAGAAGGTAATCCTGAAAACCAAGGCGGCCGCTGCGAATAAGAAGGACAAGGTGAAGGCCAGCTCCATGCTCGCCGTCGAGCAAAAGCTGGAGGATTCTAAAGAGGCTACGGTCCAGGTTGCGCCCAAGAAGATCACGCCTAAGACGGGACCCTCGCCGGCGAAGAAGCTCAAGTTGGGCTTAGGTGGCAAGCCCAATCTCTCGGCCGCCGCTCCGAAGAAGAAGAAAGACCGTGATCTCGAGTCGGAATCGTCCGAAACGCTGTCCTCGCCGCCTCGTTAGAAGGGAGGTCGGCGTCCCGCATGAGAGCAGATCCACTTGCCTGACTTCCTCGCTGGGCGTCCTGTGGACACGGCGGCTGGAAAGTGGCCGCTCTGGGGGGCGTTCTAGCGACTATTGCTGGAGGACGTTCTGGGAGATGGCCCTTCGCATCCACCCGACTTGGGGATGCGATGTATTTCGGTTCTCACAAACTGCATTGGTTGGGGTTCGGATTTGATTTCTGCATCGCCTGGCGGCGGGCCCGGGTACAGGCGTTTTTCTGCATTTCAAGGGGCATGAGCTGGGTGTGCAATGTTTGCCGGCTGTGTATTGTATTTAGAGGCGGGTTGTCTCTGGCAGCGTTTGATCTTGAGATAAACGTGCTTAGGTTGTTCTGAAGTCCAATGGACTTTGGGGAACAGAGGTACGCTGTCGAAGGGTTGCTTTGCTGCTTTTACTCGTGGGTTCCAAGTGGCAGCGGTTTGAGCTTGGTCGGTAGTATCGGCCAGGTATTATTCACGTCCTACAACTATTGGTGTTGAGTGGATGTCGAAAATAGAAGTGGTTCTCGGGATTTGTATGCTGTTGCTACTGTGCTCGCATGCGGTGATATGAGCTTGATCAAGTAAATCTCAGGATATTGTTTGCGACTACGGTGACCCGAAACCATGTTCAAGCCGCCCGCTGACACGTCGGAATTTGACCCAAGTCCAGTTCAATTCAGACCCTCTGAGAGACTAAAAATTGCAGTGCGCAAGGCTGGGAGACGGAGAGGGCGTGGAGGGGTAGCATGTGACTAACTCAAGGCCTCTTTCAGAGTAGAAATTGCAGTGAAGAAAAATGATAAAAATATACCCCCCCCCGGCCCGTCGCCCCCCGATCGTAATTCGCTCGGAGGGTTGACGGCAAAGGAGGAAACTCTTGTCGTGTCGCAAAAGGCAGACAGGCAGGGCCAAGTCACAAACAGGGGGTATCTACCTGTACACTATCACTCTCGGAAGAACCTAGGGAAAAAAAATACCTCGTGGGATATTTGATACGAGGTTCTAAAAAGATAATTATGACAAGAGCGATATTCAAAATCGTGAAGGCATTCCATACCCCATGGGAACGGGTATCCTTCTTGGGCGGTCTGATCAGGACACTTTTCAAAGAGAGAAGTACCTTCTTATCTGGAGCGGCTTTCTAGTCGGAGTGTCAAAGGTGTACAAACATCAGCCCGGAGGTTGACGTCTTTAGCTATCCGACCACCTGGTCTTTTTTCAGTGCTGTTCCTTTTTTGTTGGGTTTTGTTTGGGTTGTATGCATGGGGTTTGGTCTAGGTGGTTTTTAAAGAGAATCATGATCAAGACAAGAGCGAGATTCGAACTCGCGAAGACATTCCATATTCCATGGGAATGGGTATCCTCTTCGGCGGTCTGATTGTGATCAGGATACTTGTGGCGTTTATACAGAAGCACCTTCACATCCAGCGTTCCTGTCAGAATGTCTGGCTCAAAGGTCCTCCCTCTTTCAGAGTCCCAACCCAGCGCCTTGAACCACTCGCCTTTTTTTGGTTGTGGTTGTTATTTAATACCATGTTATTGTTTTGACGGTATAGTCAAAACAACAAGTAGCCACCCAGAAACCAGGAAGCCACAAAAAAAAAACATGCGATAAAAAGAAGAAGGGAAAAATAATATGAATGACAAGAGCGAGATTCGAACTCGCGCACCCGTTTCCGGGACCAGGAATCAACACTAGGCATCGTGTATCGCCAAGGTCGATTGTCCAGGGCTCCTCCGGAGAGGAACCCCAACCCGGCGCCTTTGACCACTCGGCCACCTCGTCTTTTCTCAGGTTGTTACTTTGTAACCTTGCTAGTTTAGGTCATAGACTATGTTTAGTGTGTGGCCCGGTGGAGGGAAGGGGAGGGAGGGTTGGCATGTGATGATGGTCAGGAATAGAAACATGCTGCAGTGGTCTGGTGGTTGGTACTTAGGCGCTGCCGCCTTTGGTGACTGGCGAGTTTGAAGGTTGGGTACCTATAGATAGATAGATAGATAGCGACCGGGGGGTCGGAGTGTTTAGATGTCCGGTTTTGTTTTGCCCTTGATGCTTGGGAGCATACTTTGAGATTGACTGGTTATGTTGCAGCAGCGATATGATACAGTTTGTGCTACGTTGTAGAGTGTTCCCAGCTGTGTACTCAACCTGCCTTAAGACGTATCAAGACAATTGGCCTACGCATCAGTCCATAGATCTCACAAAAGCTTTCTAGTCACCCTTTTCCCATCAGGTCCCTCGCCATCTAGATATCTACTTTCAAGACAACAGCTGTAATGTTGAGCATCGGCACAGACAAGGTAGTCCCAAATTCGTTTTGGACTGTTGCCCACAATCAAGAACCAGTTGATGTGACCAAGAAGTTCAGATTTTCGCATCATCAAGAACAAAAAAAACCCACACCTACTTCCAGGTTACTCACTCCTCATCCTTCCCCAAAACCCTAGCCTTCAAAATCTTAATCTCCTCCCTCGGCCGATCCTCCGCATCCGTCGGCAACAACCCCATCCGCCTCACAATCCCCATCCCGCTCTTCACCCTCCCAAAGATAGTATGCTTCCCATCGAGCCAGGGCGTCGGCGCAAGCGTGATGAAGAACTGGCTTCCGTTGGTATTCGGGCCGGCGTTGGCCATGCTGAGGATGCCCGCGCCGGTATCTATTTTCTCTCCCACACAGGTTATTATCACACTCTCTCAAAATGGGAAAGGGGGAAAGGGGAAGGGGGGATGGCAAACGTTTAAGCCCGGGATGTATCTCATCCTCAAACTTGTCGCCGTAGATACTCGAGCCGCCGCGGCCTGTGCCGGTCGGATCGCCGCCCTGGATCATGAAGTCGCGGATGACGCGGTGGAAGGGGACGGAGTCGTAGTAGCCGCGCTCGGCGAGGGTGGAGAAGTTTTTGCAGGTTTTTGGGGCGTGGAGGGTGTAGAGTTCTATTGTTATTGTGCCCTTATGTTTTTGTGTGTCAAAGTTAGCTTTGTATTTTTTTGCGATTGATGAGAAGTGACCTAGGTGGTGAGAACGACACAGAATATGACAGAAAAAAAATACCATTGAGGTCTCGAGTTGTACGTCTGTTGCCATTGTCACTTTACTGGTCTGGAGTGTTGTTGTTGCCGGTTTACGACTCTGTGTTGAGAGTCTAGTGAGTGGTCCTTTCGTGATGAGGAAGACTAGGTATCGAAGAGTCTTGATTTGCTGGGAGTCGAAATAAGAAGAAAAATGGGCAGGGTTGCAATCGTAAATTAGTTCCAAGCAAACGGACCTCGATTCAAGTTGCGGGCGTCGGTAGAGACACGGAGTTTCTCGAGCTGGCAGAATCTCAGATGAGATGGGGTTGCAGCTGAGAGTCCAAGTTGAGATGCATGAAGTGACGATACAGTGCGAGACACAGTCCAGGCGACGCACTGTACCAAAGTGCGTGGGCTTGGCATCTCAACCTCACCACCGACTTACAAAACAATATTTCGAATGTCTATCTCATTTTTGAGATGATATGTCTGGTTCAATGCCGGAAAAGTTCAGTTTGGGTCACAGCTGTAAACATTAGCGAAGCCCTCTCCTAGCGGACGTCTACGGTTTACTTCCTCATCAGCAGCGCCGCTGGTCAACTGGTGCTGCCCCTGAGGCTTCCCCTATCAAGACGGTAGTGGCTCAAGAAATGAATACCCCTACAGACCTTGGGAGATAACAAGAGACAGCATCAGACTCGGTTTCCATTGTATTGAGTGTACAGAGATCCTCCATGACTGGCATACGGATACGAGATCACCAATTACTCAAAACATGACTCAACCGAACAAGTACCATATATTAGAGATTACCTCGTTGCAAGCCTCGTAAATCAGAATAATCGACGACGGATCCCTTAACATACCCACCAGTTTTCTTCCAGTGTCCCCCCTCCCCCCCCCGCGATCAAGAACTTTTGCGCAACCATTTCCACCTGGGAACCCCAAGAACCCCCCATCACATCTACCACCAACCCCCTTACAGCGCCGCAACAACTCCCAAAACCGCCACCACCAACCCACCCAGGCCATTCATCCCCATGCCCGCCGCGCCATTACTATTCCCCGGCCCCCCAGTGCTACTACTAGCCGGACCCTTAGTACTAGTACTCAACACCACCTTACTCGAACTCGTCCCCTTCCCACCACCCGTGCTCGTCATCCCCGTCATCGTGACCGTCCCATTCCCCACCGTCACAGTCGAACTCGGCACAATCGTGACTCCCCCGGTAACCGTGGTATTGCTCGTCAGCGTCACCCCTCCGCCAGTAGCAGTAGCCGTAGCAGTCGCCGAGTACGCCGAGCACGCCGCCTCGCCCGCGCTCTGCGCCTTGCCGAGATCAGAAGCCTGACACGCGGCAATCAGGCAGGGCGCGACCGTGGCCGCGATGGCCGTCTTGCTCGCGCCGCATTGGCAGGATATGTCTGTCGCCGCGCAGCCGACTGCTGAGATTGCCGAGGCTAAGCAGGAAGTCTGTTCCCCCCATGAAAAAATAGTCAGCACCGGATAGGTATGATGGGGAGGGAGGGAGGTAGGTAAGGGGGGATATTACAGCGCATGGGGGCTGGCCTGCGAGATTCTGGGCTAGCACGAGGCTAGAAGAGGCCGCGGCGATGAGGAGAGAGGTGAGCTTCATTGTGGGCTGTGATTCGTAATCAGTTGGTGGTGTATGTGGAAAGTTCACCGTCGCGAGTGACTTTCGTGAGGCAAAACAGGTCGACAGCAGCAACAAGAGTGATGATGCTAAAAGGGAACAGGAACTCTCCCAGAAAACGAGATTCCCAAACAGAGCGGGGTGTTCGCTTTAAGTCGTGCAAACAAAAATTCCCCGTATATTGGGGACGGGAAGGAGCTAGTTACCCATCCAACACCTTCCCTTCCACCAGACAACCACCCACCACCATTCCACAGCTTTCCTTCCCAGACACACAGCACAGCACCGCCCGCAGTTCACCGGGCAGTGGCATGTATGCGCCACCTGAATCTCGATTCGCCGGCACGCACTCCGGCACGCCGGCTGAGTTCCGGGTATGGCACGATATTTCATCTCGGTCCGCCAGGTACACCTCCTGCGTTTAGACTGCCCCTTTCCGGGCTGCAGCCAACCCCGCATACATATCATGCATTAATGTCATCGATTGATTAAAGTTGGGACGTTGGTGTTAAATGCATAGCCATCGGCTCAGTGACGACGTCACACCGTGCTGTGATACTCGGCAAGAAGCAGAAAGTTGGAATGGGGAAAATGCCGTGTTGGTTCACCGGGAGACAACCATTCCAGTCGTCAGTCTGGACCTAGCTGGCTGGCTGTCGTCCGACAAAGCCACATGTCCCAATATTTGACCGTGTCACCGAATACAGATCATAGAAAAGAATATGTGTAATTGTATCAGCTCTTGGGCGCACTCTTTGCTTTTCCCACTCCTTGTATTATCCTAGGAAGACGTATAGGCAGCCTCCACGATCAAAAGATCTGCTCCAGACCATCCCATACGTGCGGATCCCCTTCAGGACCAGCGTGCTTGCGTCTCTCCCAATATTGCCCATTGAACTTCCAGTACTCTTCGCCTGTGATCTCGCACCTTGCCTTAGTAAACCAAGCCGGCACAAACTCTTCGCCTCGTGCCTCCCGCTCCCGTCGCCGGGCACGCTGCGCCTCCTCCAGCCTATTCTTCTCCGTGGCCGCAAAGTCATATTCGCCGTCTTCCATGGCTCGCTGATCAGGACGCAGCCGGGAATCCGTCGGCGCGATCCATGGCCTCAGCTTGTCGTCGATATGATTGAACGTAAGCACAAAAGGAGTCAGGTTAAAAGGAATACCAGCTGGTCGCTCATTCGCTTGCCAGATGAGGAACGCCCGTGAGGGATCATTGAAACTGCCAGCGTGTGCCGGCTCTCCATCAGCGGGTTCATCGACCGTCGTCTCGAAACCGGGTGTCAGTCGCGCATAGAGTTTCGAGTTCCACCGGCCGCCCATGCTGACCCGCACCTGGCCATTCGCGTCGACAATCTTTCCAGAGATCTGGTATGCGCTGGAAGCTTTCCAGCCCCGCGCCTTGAACTCGAGATGACAGACCTCACCCGTGTGCCAGTTCTTGATCTCCATTGGCCCATAGTTGTCGACGACCGGATTGCCCGTTATGATACCGACCACCGACGACGTGACCTTCTTCCACGTGTAGAGTTCTTCCGTCCCGCCTGCTGTCGGCCGGAGCCTGAGGAACCAGGTGCCGAGAGGGTTGATATCGAAGGACCGACCATAGAACTTGGACTTGACCGCCGACTCGCCGTAGTACGTCCATTTGGGCGACTCGGCCCAGGCAGCACCAACCGGAGGGTGGTGGCTGACTTGTTCAATGAAGAAGCGATAGTTTTTGTCCGGCCTGACATATTCAAACGTCTCTCCAAGTAATGGGTTGAACGGCTTGGCCACGCGTCCAATGGTCGATGCGTATTCACTGGCAGCAAAAGCCGCGACATAAATCATCCGCTCAATAGAGTCCGTCCGGTCCGCTGCAAGGTCCAGGAGATCGGCATATTCCATGTCTTCGCCACATCTGTAAAGCAGCGAGGTGGGCTCGTTAAAAGACACAGGTAGCGTCATCTTGGTCATGTCCTTGCCGATCATGGATTTCAGAATTCCCTAGACTAGTCAGCAGTGCCATCGGAATACATCGTGGGACTTACCCAAAGCGAAATCTTAGGCCGGTCATCGGCATCCATCTTCAGCCGCGTCCTGATGCCGTTCTCGTACCCCTTGAAGGAATCGCTG